CAGTTTAATCTTACAAAAAGCCTTCTTTGGGGCACTGATTGACACATTTAGTTCTTATGGAAGAGTTTTGTATGGATTCGATGAGTAAATACGGAAAATTGGTTTTGTTTTGTCCAGAATTGGTGACGTTTGGCAGTGGTTTGTTTGGTTGGCCGCAAATGTTTCCATAGTTATCGTAGCCATGAATTAGAAGATTGGGATTTGAGTGCTTCACGAATATTACATCTATTATGATGTATGACTAAAATATTCACGTTTTCATAAACATTAGTTCGCTTTAATTGATTAATTCTGAAGTTCATTAACTCACCAGAAATGACAAAAATGCGATCAACAGAATCAAAAAACCAGTGTCTCTGCACTCTCTCTTGCGGACGGGTAGGTCCAGCTCTGAATCATCAAAATTAACGGCCGGTTCAATGGGCTCTATAGTAAATACCTTTCAAAGAATGCATTTAAAAATTGATAACAATTAATATAAGTTGGATATTTTTAGTTTTAGTTTTTAAATACAGTATTAGAAATTATTATTAAAATTGCCTAGTGAGAAATATAAATTACAAATTAATTATATCAGATATAATTAATTTGTAATTTATATTTCTCACCAATTCTATCAAATATATATTTTTAATAAAATTGAGAATTTTTAAAATGAAAATCTCTTAAAAATTTCAAAATTATATTAAATTTTAAATATAAAACAGCCGACATATTTTTAACCACGAATGAAATATAACTAATAATTATTTCATTGGTTAAGGTTTTTATTTTATTGTGGAGTAAAGAATATATTGGTGTAAAATGCAAATTTAAAACTGCTTATATAAATATTGGACAATTTTATAGGATATATATATAATAAATGCAATTATAAATAGCTTCTAATCATGCTGTGGACAGTATGTAACAAAAAGCACTTTATATTCATTTTGCACTTAAGAGTCAATGACCATAAGTATGGTGTCATTCATAATGCATTCATTAATAAGTTAGTGTCACTTACTTTGGTTGTGTTGTGTTTCATGACTGCAGAGTTAGAGACAACCACAGGGTATCACCGCTTCTCTCATTGACAATAATACACTTCTGTAAGAGGAAGTGATCACTACAAGATATCAATCAATAAAATCTTAATTAGAGATAAAATAAACATTCATATGAGAGAATATCATAAAATCAAATTTACAAACAAATTAAAAGTTTTCCATATGTAATACTATAATTAATTCTTTAGCTTTTGTCTAATTAATATAACTCAAGTAATATGAAAATAGCTATGCTTGTATTAATAGTATTATACCAGTATATAATTAACTTCTTACAAAACTTCAAATCAAATAATCTAATTAAATTAAATAAAATTCGGGTGATATATTGGTAATTATATTTTAGATAATATATAACATTATTGTTCACATATTGATATAACAATATTGTTCATATTATGACACCTATAAAAATAATTTCTATATAAAATAAAATTCTACTTAAAGCTAATATTATAAATATTGTAATAGGTAAAGTTATTAATTAAATCAAAAATTAGTTACCCAGCAAACCCCACATTCATACTTCAGTGCATTACACTGCATACATGTATAAAGTATTTCAAAAAAGATGCTTAAACAAAAAATAAAATACTTTATTTAGGAAAATAATTTACTTAACTATAAAATCAAGCAGGTAATTAATAAATATATACTATTTTAAATAACTTTCTATCTTAAAATTCTTACCTTTTTTAAAAAGACATCCACAATAAACTACAGTGTAAAATGGGTATAAGATTAAAAGCAAAAGTGTTAACCACTCATCAAATAATCAAATGTTAAGTTAGTAACAAAATTCAGTTTATTTCTAACTTTTATGTAATAAAAGCTAACAATTCGTGAAAGCTTTTGGCCAAACATTGGTCCATAACATTGAACGGATACGCATGTCTTCACTCATAATAACTTCAATTCAAATTAGATCTATATTTCTGGATATTGTTTTGTACCTATAGTATAATTATTTTATTTTAAATATTTAATAAATTTAAATTATATAAATAAATATATATTAAATTAAATATGTATTATTATTATTTATTAAAATTAACTCAAGATATTCAAATGTATTTTTAAATTATATAAAATACTTTATAGATCACTGTCTAGTTTCTACCTGTATTAGTAATTGAACAATTTCAAAATATTTTACTTTACTATATTTTTAATATTTATTAACACGTAATATAAAAACCACAATACTTCCTCATAAGTGATTGAATACATACATAATGTTAAGATATTTAATTATATATTTAATTTTCTATATACTGTATAACTATATGTTATTGAATTCAAGCAAAACTTCAAATTAAAGTTTCACTTTTCAAACACATAAAAGAGTTTTTGTCATTTGAAGTGCTATTCATTAGAATTCTGTATTGACAACAAATATACAATATTTCTATTCATTCTTTAGCTTTCATTCATTCATTGAGGGTTTGTTTGACAAAAGCAAAAGTTGTTACAAAATGAGAATATTCTGTCCTTTCGTTTCATTGCAAATATTCTGTTAAAAGAATTCAATCTTAAGATTCAATTGATTTGTAGTTTTTGCGGAAATAAAAGTTATAACAAGTAAACTAACGTTAATTTTAAAACAATATAAATATAATATAATAAAACGAATTATATTATTATAGCTGTTATTATTGGATAAATAATTGATTAGAAGTAATCTTGAAAATGGTTTCGCACGCAATCACCGGTAGTTATGTTCACACAATACAGTAGCAGTTCATTGACCTTAACTTTGTTCACATCAAATACAGTTAACCTTTTATTTAATGCACTTTTCATTCGTTTCACGTTTTTCCTTATTAAAGACAAATAATTTTTTGTTTCGTCTCTCTCTCTCTCTCTCTCTCTCTCTCTCTCTCTCTCTCTCTCTCCAAACTGCTGAAGAATGAGTTTTAAACTAAAATTCTACTGTATATACAGTACAAAGAACTCTGTTTATAGTTGATAGGCCTGAATAACTATAATTGCATAATAGGATCGTATACTAATAAGTAAAATAATTACAATATTATGGAATATAGGGACGTGTATTCAATGTTGCCAATGAATTACAAATCAAAAATAAACTAATTGCTAAATCAGATTTATTTTACATAAATATCATAGTATTGATATTATTGCAAATAGAAAAGAAAATCATTGTATAATTTTTGTTTAAAATTTCATTTTATTAATTATCGCAAGAAATTTTTCATTGACTTAAACTGATTTAAACAAAGTACAAAACAATTTTGTGGTTAATTAAAACTTATATTAAATTCGCATTTATTTAAATTAATTTCATGATTTTTAAGCAAAAAATACAAAACAATACATAAATTACTTTAAATAATCAGACGCTTTGGCTATAAATATAAACAAACAGTAAAATAAATAATAAATAATAACAATATATTAAAAAAACAAAATTAATTCCGAATTAATATTTAAAAGGACTCGAAGAAGAATGACTCGAAGACGTGGAATCTCTACGTCGAGTGTTTGCCAACTCTTCTCGCGATTGTCTCAACCCTTGTGCCGAAGAGTTTGAATGGCTTACTGTCGATGAGAATACAATTGATATGAAATACAGAAATGCATACATTATTACCGGTAATACTCGTATAACTTATAACTCAATCTGTTGTCTAAACGTTATGTTACTTACAGTCAATTAAGTTAGAAGTGAAGGGTCCGCTTCCGGGACCTAAATGCGAGATATGACTGAAATCTGAAGGACCACTGATTTGGATGCGAGAGTTCTGCTCACAAACATTATCCCGGATTAGAGTTCAAACATTTACTAAATTAATAAATCCAAACCTTTTTTATAATATCGCTACTATTGGCCCCCAATTGAGAAAAGCGTTGATTGGATGAGTTGGCGCTCAAAGTAAACGATTTTGAGGGGTCGCCTAAAATACAACAATTATTTATTTACCATTTTGTATACAAATTGAAAATATTTGTGTCAGACCTCCGACTCTCAACAAACAGTCATTTCGATTGGAGGCCACAATTTGGACCATAAGTGGTAAGTCATAGGCATTCGTCAGACATAATAATGATCTAAAAATACATCAATTTTCATATTAATATTTGTAAATCACAACAATTTGTAGTCATTACTGTTGTCCGTGTGTTTGCAAAGGACGTGTGGCTTTCAAATTGATTGTCTGAATCCATTGCGTTGACGACAAATCAAAGACATCGATATGTGTCGAAGAAAATGACAAAAGCAGTGAAGAATGGGATGGCGTCGAGAGGGTAGAGATATATGAGGGCTGAGTAGGGAATTGTAGCTCAAAAGCACGCGTTCGTCGGCCGTGAGAGTCAACATAAACGCCATAATCTTTAAATTAAGGCATCGATTACTGTATTATTATTATTTCAAATACAAGACAACATACGGGAAAATATCAAAATCCATTCCTTGTCAGTGATTGGTTGACACATAAGAGCATCGATTGAATTCTGTATTAAATACGACAACTCATTGCACTCTTGATTAACCAAATCTATTAAGAGATTTACAAATCAATGACAAATAGTTCTCACTATTAATGAGATTATATTAAATAATTAAAACATACAAAGAGGCGGAGACTCGCGTTGATTGAGGTTATAGACCACAAAATTAGAAGCCGTTCCCACAGCTATTGAACTCGATTTACAAGAGTTTAGTGTTTGAATATTTAGTGGCATTTGGATCTCCCGGTAGAAAGAGTAGCGACACTTCTTTCTTGTGATTTCAAACAGAATTAATGTCTTTTTAATGGCAACACAGATATAATTCGTTGTATTTGTCGAAACCAATGCAAAAGTGGTCGCGTTCTTCGTCTCCGGAATTTTAATCCATTCAATGTTTTCGTTATCTAAACCTCGGATCGGAATCAACTGTTTGGTGACAATACAAATATGAGAATTAGGATCACATCATCGTCATTATTATTTAGATTTACTTTTATTTGTCGCTGTTTTCCGGCTAAACTTATCACTAATTGTTCAGTCGATGAATGCGATAGTTGTTGAATGCGTTTAGAGTTTGTCAGTCTATGGTATGAAGGGATGTCGACATCACAACAGAGGAGAGCGTCGTCGCAACCGATTAATAGTCGCGTTTCATCGATAACAAGACAACAGTTAATATTATTATGATGTCTTAAAGGACTTATTTGGACAGTGGTTAGCACTGTATGCACACGAAGGGGCTGTCGGTTGGAAGGAATTAGTAAATAAATGCATAAAACAAGTCAATGATTGGTTACATTTCGATTGGAGAGTTTATTTCTACGGATTATTCGATGCAATTCATGCAAAGCGTCGATCCATTTGTTTTTCTCGCTCTCCCTGTCGACTAACATAAGTTGAGTGAATCGTTGGGAGCCGTCGTCCCCTAACATAGAAGTGGTCACTCGGAAAATGCAAGGAATGTCTTTACGGGACGCGTGTATGACATCACTCTCCAGAACTCCACTAACACTAAAGAATTCATCCCTAAAATCAATTATAAATAAAGTAAATTCACATCAGTTTGTAATTAATTACCAAAAAATAATGTAAGAACTCAGACCTCATATCAATTAAAGTGTTGACCGAAACAAATGGTGTTATATTTAGAGGGCTTCCACTGCTGTCTTGACTCATAACCGATGTATTATAAGAACTGGAACTCGAACTCAAAGAGTCGTTATTGGAGTTGAGGTCATAGAGAAAGAGTTTGAAATCGCAAACCACAACAAACATTCGTATCCATCCTTTACGGACCCCTCCCCGCGCTTTCGGTATTTTAACGTAACCTAACATTTGGGAGTTGTTGTTAAAATGAGACCAAAATCAATTCAAACAGTTGACAAACCTTCGTAGGCTGTGCCGATACCATTCTTTGGGTCGATACCCACCGGTCTCTGTAAGCCGTCATCACAAGGACATGGACTACCAGTTCCCATACAATTCACGTGACACGCAAAACCACAAACTATATTAACAGCCAATTAATAAATATGTGACAAAATATGAGGTTTTGTTTGTGACATACCTTCGCAAACCAACCCCTGTCTGACTAAACCGATCATAAGAGACGTGCAATGATTGCATTTGAGAGGCGCCACAAAAGTGCGGACAATAAATGAATGCTTTTGTTGCGAACAAACAGAAAACTTCTGAGTCTCTGATATGGACGAGGTATCAGTCATGGACTCAATATCCGATTCCATGCTTTGTATTTGGCTCTGATGTTCGACAGGAGACCGCGATTCCTGTGAGAACAGTATATTAGGCGCAGCAGTGGGTGGAAGGGATTGTCGCTTATTTTGCTGCTCCTGTACTTTTTGCATCTCAATTCTCGTGTCATTCAATTCGGTTAACACGATATTCATCTCTCTCTGGACTCTTTGCAAATCCAATTGAATTCTCTGTTTGTCTTCGATTTCATTCTGCAATTCGAGCTGTAATTGAAGCAACTCTTGTTTGTCGACCCGCGCGGACCTCCTTTCCTGCCAACTCTGCTGTTTGGTTTGTGTGAGGAATTGCTGGACAGGGGGTGAGTATCGCTGTCCCAACACATACTGTTGCTGTTGGAGCTGAAGTTTTTCCAATTCCTTAGTCATAGTGGCGGCCATTTGTTGCAAGTAATTGCGGGCCTCCTTCTCATTGGACACCCAATCGATGATTTCGGTGATCTGTCGCTCCCAATTGGGCTGCAACTGCTGCAACTGAAGCACCTGTTGCTCCAACTCATTGATGTGCTCCTCATTCGGCTCTTCCCTAAGCATCGCTTGTCTCGACTCTAATTGTTGTTCCAATTCTGCGATTCTTTCCAAATATAGCTCTTCTTTGTCCACAAAATTCTGGTTAATTGGCGTTCGATTCGAATCGAATGATTGGCTCTCGAGTAACAAAACTCTCTCTTCAGACTCCTTAGTCATCAATTGAGCTATGATTGCAAATAAACACAAATAAGAGATAACCCAAAATCGCTTCATAATAATGAGGTTTACCTTCAAGTCTTAGCTCACGTTCTTTGTCTAATTCAGTCTGAAGTGAGACGATGTCATCGATCTGTTGGCGCTTAACTTTCTCTGCATTTCTCAACTGTTGCCTCAATTGAGTGTTTTTCTCGAGTTGTTGTTCGAGTTCTTCTTCTTTAGCTCTTAATCGTTGAGATAAAGAGTTCTTCTCTTTCTTCATATCAGTCAACAGAGTGGAGACTTCACTCCATTCTTGTCGCGCATCTCTGAGTTCGCTTTCGAGAACTAATCTTCTTTCAGAATCATTGATGCCATCGATTGAATCGTTTTGTACATTACTAACCAAACGCGGAGCAGCCGTTTCAGGCAATGGCGGCAATGACTCGAGTATTGAATTTTCGCCGTTTTGCTCGCAAATACTTTTATTTAAAATTTGTTTGTTTTTCAGTTTAAGTTTTTCTTCGGGTGTCGTGAAAGTGGCCGTAAAGCCAACGAATGGCAGATGAATATTAAGTAAAGAATCTTTGGTTGAATTCATGGCAAGTCTCCACAAAATTCTGGTTAATTGGCGTTCGATTCGAATCGAATGATTGGCTCTCGAGTAACAAAACTCTCTCTTCAGACTCCTTAGTCATCAATTGAGCTATGATTGCAAATAAACACAAATAAGAGATCATCCAAAATCGCTTCATAATAATGAGGTTTACCTTCAAGTCTTAGCTCACGTTCTTTGTCTAATTCAGTCTGAAGTGATACGATGTCATCGATCTGTTGGCGCTTTACTTTCTCTGCATTTCTCAACTGTTGCCTCAATTGAGTGTTTTTCTCGAGTTGTTGTTCCAGTTCTTCCTCTTTAGCTCTTAATCGTTGAGATAAAGAGTTCTTCTCTTTCTTCATATCAGTCAATAGAGCGGAGACTTCACTCCATTCTTGTCGCGCATCTCTGAGTTCGCTCTCGAGAACTAATCTTCTTTCAGAATCATTGATACCATCGATTGAATCGTTTTGTACATTACTAACCAAACGCGGAGCAGCCGTTTCAGGCAATGGCGGCAATGACTCGAGTATTGAATTTTCGCCGTTTTGCTCGCAAATGCTTTTATTTAAAATTTGTTTGTTTTTCAGTTTAAGTTTTTCTTCGGGTGTCGTGAAAGTGGCCGTAAAGCCAACGAATGGCAGATGAATATTAAGTAAAGAATCTTTGGTTGAATTCATGGCAAGTCCTGCACCGGCATTGTTTGCATTATTATTAGGTGGTCTCAGCTCTTCGATGTCGAAATTGGATGTGTCTTCGGGTCCGCTCACTGTTGGCTGATATGGCGGTCGAACAGATTGGAGTGAATCCCAATTTATTCCTACAATTCATTAATACGTCAATCAATTTTCAAAATATAGCAAATACTGTATTACAAACCTGTGAACCACAAGTGAGACTTGAACTGATCCAAAGATTTAAATCTCGAGTTCTGGTCTGTAATCAAATTGGAAATGAGATCTTTGGCCTCATCGGTAACTTTGGCGTTGACGGGGAACTGAATGCATTCAATGATATCATTATTTATAAGTTCTTAAACTTAAGCAAACTTTAATAAACACTTACTTTAAAACAATGTTTGTGGTTCATTATTTTAGAATAGGTTTCAATGAGAGATTCCGCATAGAATGGTGTTTCCCCGTATAAGGACTCAAATATGACGACTCCCAGTGACCACCAGTCCACTTCAAATGAATACAATAGTCCTACAAAACCAGATAATACAACCAATTAATGCAAAATTCTATACCAAGTAAATAGAAAAATACCTGAATTTCGATTGCCTTCCATTGCTTTGAGAATCTCAGGCTTAAGAATAGAAAATTTTTTTATAAATATAAATACAGAAAGTTTTAGAAAAATATTTAAAAATACCGAAATATAGTCCGGCGTTCCCACAGCTATTGTACAAACGCCGTCTGTTCTCACGTTTGAAACCTTCATTAAAAATAAATTAATTTTAAGAGAAAATAAACTTTAAATTAGAAGTACAGTACAAACCTTAATACAAGAGCCAAAATCGGCGAGTCTTATGTGTCCGTTAGAGTCGAGCAGAATATTGTCGGGTTTGACATCTCTGTGAATGTAACCCATTTCGTGAAGGGAGGAAAGGGCTAAACAGACGGTATAACGTTATTATAGAATATAGAAATGAATGTATAATATAATATAGATTTGAATACCGAGAATGATTTGTGAGGTATAGAATCGACACATATCTTCGGGCAGATTGTCATTTGAGAGATTCCGCATAGAATGGTGTTTCCCCGTATAAGGACTCAAATATGACGACTCCCAGTGACCACCAGTCCACTTCAAATGAATACAATAGTCCTACAAAACCAGATAATACAACCAATTAATGAAAAATTCTATACCAAGTAAATAGAAAAATACCTGAATTTCGATTGCCTTCCATTGCTTTGAGAATCTCAGGCTTAAGAATAGAATATTTTTTTATAAATATAAATACAGAATGTTTTAGAAGAATATTAAAAATACCGAAATATAGTCCGGCGTTCCCACAGCTATTGTACAAACGCCGTCTGTTTTCACGTTTGAAACCTTCATTAAAAATGAATTAATTTTAAAACAAAATAAACTTTAAATTAGACGTACAGTACAAACCTTAATACAAGAGCCAAAATCGGCGAGTCTTATGTGTCCGTTAGAGTCGAGCAGAATATTGTCGGGTTTGACATCTCTGTGAATGTAACCCATTTCGTGAAGGGAGGAGAGGGCTAAACAGACGGTATAACGTTATTATAGAATATAGAAATGAATGTATAATATAATATAGATTTGAATACCGAGAATGATTTGTGAGGTATAGAATCGACACATATCTTCGGGCAGATTGTCATCATATTTGGAAAGTAATGTCAATAAATCCCCTGAAGAGTGCAAGAAATTATTAATCATATAATTGATAAGAAATGAATGCAAAGAATTGCTGAGCGCCGGGTGTTAAGGAAACAGGTATTGCGAAAGAGCACAGCGTTTGAGGGCTTACCTCCGATATAATAATCCATAATCAGGTAAAGATTGCTTTCGTCCTGAAAGGAAAAGTATAGTTTTGTGAACCAATCACGCGATCCGTGCAGTAATATATCCCTCTCCTCACGATAACAAGCCGTCTGTTTCCATAAATTAATTCAATATTCATTTGAAAACAATAGTCAATAAATTAAAAGCTAACTAATCATGTATCAAACCTCAGCCCTCTTAAGCATTTCCAGTTTGTTCAGTGTTTTCATTGCATAGATATTGCCATTATTTTTAGCCTTTAATTGCATTCAAAGATAATTGAAAACATTGTTTAGAAAGTGATGAGAAGATGCGAGGATTGCATAATGAATACATGAATACATGAATACATGCATACCTTGACGAGAGCCACCTGACCGAAGGCACCCCTTCCTATCACTTTCAACTGGTCGAAGTCTGCGGCCTTCAGCTGTAACTCATTGATCCTCTCAATCAATGGCTTCACTAACTCACAGAACCGTTGCTGACGTTTATTACGGGTTGTGTTGGCATTCCTGACCATCAGTTCAACACATCAAGACATCAATCATTTATACATTCATTCACACATACATTAGCCCACTATTAGGCCACACATTACACTCTCATAGGATTGTCGCATAAATTATTTCAAATAAATTGTCAAATGTATCATAAATTGTGTATAATTTGCATAAATAGATAGTGAGAGGCGGACAGGGATTGGGGTCTTAGTACTGATCGCTTATAACTATATTATTACCGCATTTGGTATTAACTAAAAAGTGGACAAAATATGTGTCCTATATATCAGGGAATATATTATCTATAAAAGCAAACAATTACTCCTAATTGGTGTCAAAGTGTCATAAGAAGCAAATGATGGCAAACCTGAAGCACTCGTAATAGACGGCAATCAAGACATCGGACAGTAGTTCGCAATTAATGGACTTCCCGTCGAAAAGTGTCGGTCCAATGGA